CACATTTTAAGGTCCCCAAAATACTCAGTTTGATTTAGAAATAGAAAAAAATTCCAACAGCTGGGGTGAAAGAAAAAAATAAGATAAAAATCCAATGTTTGGTCTACCATTTTATTGTCCTGGATTGAGGAGATTGTCCAGATTCTGTTTGTCAAAACACCAATTGCTGAAGTAGTCCCTGACCATCAGTTCCAAATCCAGGGAATTCCACCCAGGTCTTGCTGCAGGAGTGAGCAGGAAGTGATCCTGGGGTGACAGGGGAGGGAAGCTGCAGACTCCACCCTTCATACACCCCAACTTAAAGCAAGAGTCTGAGATGGGCTTTTCTTACCTTTCCCTTCCTCACAAAACCTAGGATATAAATTGAGGGCAATCACAGCATTTTTAAAGACCCCTCCAGACCTGTAGGTTTTGGTGATGTAGCCTTACTGGGTGGACAGATAAGACTGGAGGAGGAATTTTTATTCACTATCATTTCTGGAATTAATTTACAACAAACATTTTGAGTGGAAGTGGAACTGAAATCCCTTTTTTACAGCAAAGAAGAGAAGTGGAAAAAGCATATATTAATCCTGAGATTTTAAAATGCTTTCTACTTTTATGGATTGCTGTAATGAATTGGGTTAGTAGGTTTATCAAAGGAAAGCCATTACAAATCAATCAGAATCTTTGGTAAGGGTCTTGATTTTATATGGAAATGGTTTCTAGTCCTTCAGATCTTGGGGAAATATTTTTGAGTTGAGGGAAGAATAATTCACTAACTCAGTGCACACACAAAGTTAATTATGCAATCACCACATGGATTTACTTTTACATTTGAATAAAAACAAATGGGCTGAAAACTCCCACCATGATTTTGGTAGGATTTCAGGAACAATTGCCCTCTGCTTTTTTCTTTGATGTTTGACTTACCTGGGAGAAACCTACAGAGAAAATAAAGTAGATACTCCAGGGAAGGATCCTGATCTACTGGAAGGTGTCCCTGCCCATGGCAAGGGACTGGAATTAGATGATCTTTAAGGTGCCTTCCAACCCAAACCATTCAACGATTCTCTGAAGACCGAACCAGGCCAGTGCCAGTCCCTCAGTGATCCATGGAGGTGAGCAGCCAGGTGACCACAAGTGACCTCTGCTGCTCCTGGGGACACCAGGGGACAGCATCACCTGGGGACCTGCTGCCCTCTGGAGGTGCCTCTGCCGTGTCTCTGCCACATCTCCAGGTGATGCTCCAGCCATGCCCGAGGACTCTCCTGGTACCAGTCCCGGTGGAGGGCGTGGAGGCTCCTCCTGGCTAGGATGGAACGATGATGGTTGGGACCACCAGTCTTCCCTTCCCATCCTTGGAAGACCAAGGCCCAGGGAACTGTAAGATCACAGGATGGTTTGGCTTGGAAGGGACCTTAAAGATCATCCCATTCCACTCCCTGCCATGGGCAGGGGCACCTTCCACCATCCCAGGTTGCTCCAAGCTCTGTCTAACCCGGCCTTGGACACTTCCAGGGATGGAGCAGCCACAGCTTCTCTGGGCACCCTGTGCCAGGGCCTCTCCACCCTCACAGGGAAGAATTTCTTCCCAAAATCTCATCTAAAGACACTCTCTTCCAGTTTGAACCCTTTCCCCTTTGTCCTGTCACTCCATGTTCTTGTCCCAGCTTTCCTATATGTTCCTTTGGGTACTTCAGGAACTTTTCTTTACAGGGACTTTGCTTTAGGGGGAAAATATTTATTTAAGGACCAGCTGAGAAGAAAGCATTGATGCTTGTGCAAGATTCCAGCACTGGTCCCACAGAATGGCCACACAACCCTACCAGGAGATCCAGCTCCTCCATGCTTTGTTAGCAGGATACCTGCAGGGAGAAACCACCAAAATCCAGCAGAAAGGGCAAGAAGCAGAAGGTTCAACTCCAAACTGAGTTGAGCTGCTGCTGTTGTGGTAAAGGAATGGCCATTTCTGCCCATTTTGGGTGGTAAGAGGCAGCTCAAAAGGTCCAGGTAAGATTTAGGGGGTTCTAAGGCACCTTAGAGAGTTCATGGTGCTCAGACCAGCACAGGGCATCCCAAGGAAGTCTGGCTGCTCCATCCCTGGAAGTGCCCAAGGCCAGGTTGGACAGGGCTTGGAGCAGCCTGGGACAGTGGAAGGTGTCCATGCCCATGGTAAGGGGTGGAATGAGAGGATCTTTAAGGTCCCTTCCAACCCAAACCCTTCCATGATTCTACAAACTACCACTACAGCAAGCAATTTCCAGCTTGGGCTTTGCAAAACCTCATCCCAGCAATAACTCAGGCTTGGATCCATGTGTTCCCGAGGATTCAGCAGTCCTCTGGAAAAGGTCCTGTGCCCAGGGATGCTGTGGGAGCTGGCAGTCCCTGGAGTTCTATGGGCAACAAAAAGGATTTCTTGTGTCTGAGGAAAAGAAAAAAATACTGAGCCATAGATGTGGACAGTGCTGGTGTTGCACAGGTTTATTTTGACTGATCACACCTAATTTCAGGTGTCCATTCCAGGTGGCTGGTGTTAGAGTATTTGCATCACCAGTGGGAGCACCACTCTTCTTCAGCAGCTCCCCACCAGTGTTTTTTGGATGAACACAACTTATCCAAGACAAATCCAGGCCAAAAAACATTCAAACCCATGGACTGGCTTCAGAGGGATGTGGCTGCAGCCTTTCACTGCTATCTTATGGCAGCTCATTTGAAATCCATTAAGCAACCAAATTAAAAATAAACATTTACAGAAGAAGGAGCGGGTGACAGTGTGTGGTCTGTTCCTGCGAGGAGACAGGCAGACAGACAGACAGACAGACATCCAGCCTTGGGAGCAACACCTCTGCTGTAAACTCACCCTGCTAGACCTGGGCTCCGGCCGTGAGGCCGACTGACCCAGTCTGGCCACGTCCCTGTGATTCAACGCTCCTGGCTATCAAATCTGGGTGGCTGAATCCAAATCGTTTGTCAGGAAGGGGCCCCAGTCTTGGTAATTCCCAAGCCATGTCCTGGGATTGCTCATCCCACACCAAAACCGGGCCAGGGGCTGTTTCACCCTGTGCCTATCTGTCCCCTGGTGCTGCTTGGTTCATGGGCACAGAATCGGTTTTGATTTGGATGAGATGTTGCTGGAAACGTTGAACCTCTACGTGCTTGATGGACCAGGCTCTGCTCTGTGGGACCCAGCAACAGGAGAACAGGAATGGGCAGGAATGGATGCCCGGGAAGTTCCACCTGGACATGAGGATGAACTTTCCTGTGCAGTGACTGAGCACTGAACAGATTGTCCAGAGAGGGAGTGGAGTCTCTTTCAGTGGGGATATTCCAGAATTATCTGGACACAACCCTGTGCCCTGTGCTCCGGGATGGCCCTGCTGGAGCAGGGAGGCTGCACAGTTGATCTATTGTGACCTTCCAACATGACTCCTCTTGGGATTCTGGGATTCCTTTTGCTGCTAAATGCTCCTGCAGGTCTTTGTCAGACAGTTTTGAAACAGCCAACAGCTCTTCCATCTCCTGTGGTGCCTCTCCATCATCATCAGCCTTCAGGTGCCTCCTTGCAGCACAGTGAGAGCTGATCACCAGGCTGAGTTTGCATATGCAGATCTGAAATCTGACAAAAATGGATGCTGGCAAAAAAA